TGTTTTTTTTAATAAAAATTACCTATTATATATAAATTGCAGTGTTGCTTTGTTTTGTTCATTGGTACAAAGTGTGTGCTTCTTAACTCTTGTTATAAATCATCTTGTCAGGAGCATTGTTGATACAAATAACTAGCATGGTTTTTCCTTCTGATGGGTGAGTAAGCACAAGGCAGAAATTGTCCTGAAGTCGTGATGCACAGCAGGGATTCTGGATTTCTGTTCCTTGCTCTTCCATACATGCCAGGGTAAATTTAACCATCGAGACCAGGTAACTTGTGTTTGCAATGCTCATGGTAAAAAACAAATTACTAACAAATTATTACATAGCTTTAAAAGGACCCTGTGTCATGCAGGCTGCAGAATTGAGGTTGAAGATGGGATACAGATGAGGGATATGTGCTTGGCAGCCTCTGCACAGAAGATGAGGACACTGAGTCTGTCATCTCATGGCCAGCTGCTGCCCCAAGAGTAGTCTTGACCACCCTACCTGTTCATTCTGGATGGGAAAACAAGCCAAGGCTGTCAGGAGCAGCCTTGCAGCTGCTGTGTACCTCCTGCATCCTACCAGGCTGCTGATCCAGGATGTTGGGCTGCTCTGGCATGGAGAGGTGGTTTGCTATTGCTGTGTGCAGTGACTGCCGGAGCTGGAGAAGGGGAGGTGGGGAGGAGAGAGGGTTGGACAGGGCGAGAGATGTGGGGGAGACTGAACTTGCTCAAATAAGGGGTTGAAAGGCGATACTCCTGAAGGAAAGGGATAGAAGGAAAACCAAAAGATGAAGGTAAAGGTAGGTAAATCAGCAAAATGGGCAGGAAAGGAGGAGGAATGTGAGGGTGGGGAGTAAACACTGCCTGCTCTCTGCTGGCAGTAGAGACCAAGCAGTTCTCACAGCAGTCAAGCCTGCTCAACACTCGCAGTGCCTGCACCTTCTCTCCCAGACAGTGCTGGTATTACTGGCTGCTGCTTTGGCATTCACTGTGGGGAAACTAATGGTGAGGCTGGCCCCAAAGGAAACAATGGGGAACCCCATCTCTGGATGCTGCACCAACCCAGCCCTGCTGGCTGGTGCAGTGCTGCCCCAGGCCTCCCTCAGGGCAAATCTCTCCCTCTGCTGTGCCTGGCAGACAGTGGTCTGCACTGTGGCTCCATGGAGGGAGAAATTCCATGGTAAGATGTTTGAGATGCATGCAGTTAGGTGAAATTTAAAAAAATTTAAGACATAAAATAAAGCTCACATTTAGTACTGGGTATTAAGCAAAAATGGGCCCACAAGTTCTGTTTGTTAAATCTGATTGTGATCCTTAGGCTTGAGAGCCAGGCAGGTTTCAAGGACCTGACTGACAACTGTAGCTTTGTTGGAGGCTTTCCATAGGAAAGAAGACATCAATATGAGAGTGAACAGTGCGCCAGTAAATAAACACTTCCTGGGTACCTGTGCCAACAGCAGTAATAAAAGACAGGGACTAGAACATAATGTGAGGTTCACCCTGAAGCATGGGCAGTTCTTCCTGTAAACAGCCTTGTAAACCAGCCAGTCCCAAGTGGATGTCAGCATCTAGAAATGCACTGGCAGCAAACACAGCATTTCAGACCCCCCTCCTGCCCTTCTGTGTCCCAGCTTACATGCACTTGGCTGTGGTAGCTGCTAGCTGGGAGAGTGAGGGACTTCACTCAGCCACAGATGGGCCAGCAGCACCACACTGGATTTCTCTATCCATCAGCCCTTCCGTGTGCCTCAGTCCTTTTCCATGCCAAGGCTTCACAGTCCTCTAAGGCTGTGGCTTGTAGGTGCCAAGGATCTTTGTCCTCTGAAGCATCTGCTGTGAGGCTGCCATAGCCCATGCCTGTTCTGGCCTCTACAGTGTGGGACAGCAGCTTCAGTCTGGCTTACAGCTGAGGAGATGGCACCAGCATCACATTTTTCTTTGCATTACTGCTTTTTCTTAACTGAGGCTACTGTGTGGTAGAAGTGGCTGTGCACATGCACAGCACTAGTGTGCTACTAGTGAAGCATTTAGTTGTTCAAAGAAACAGGTATAACTACCTGCTAGCACTGTTGTGCCTGCAGACAGCAGTGTGGCATTATAGTTAGAGATAAATGGCCTTAAAATCATCTGTGTGCTGTGTCAAAAAACCCCAACCACCACATACAACAAACAACAAACAAAACCAACATTCTCCAGCAGCTGATCAAAAGCAATAAGCATCACCCATAACTACAGCTGCCCTGGGTGAAATTTATTCTCTTAGTGTCTTTTATGTCTGGCAATGTGTGCATCATAACTTTATATAGCTTCCAAAAATAATTTGCTTAAAAGGTTCCTGGTTTATATTTGTTTCCTCATCTGTCATCCCAATAGATAAAATGAAACTTTATTAAAAGCCAGGCTTTGACTAGGAGACATAATGAGTGGGTTTTGTCACTTTATTAAAACTCTGTGCATGCTGGAATTAATTATGTGCCTTTTGAAAGATACAAAGATCTCACTATTGTAGGACAATAGCAACTTGATGGAAAAGAGCAGCAATATGGTGTCATCAGTCTGTTTTTCTACACAGCTGCTGAGCTGCAGTTTGCTGTTCCAGCACTGTTTTTTTCATGCTACAAAGCCAAAAGCTGCATTGATTCATGGTTATTTGCTGGCACTGCAAGTGTGAAACTCTTCATTCTGCAAGGATGTCTCCTCCAGCGTGGCTTTTCTAGTAGTAAGGTAAGGGTACTTGCAATTTTTGGGCTTCACCACCTTGAGGAGATGCATTCTGTACCTTCCATGCACACTAGCTGTGGTCACTTCATTCCCACTGGAGATGGAGCATGAAACACACCTGGTGTGCATGAGCCAGATCACCATGAAGAGTGAACTTGTGAGTCCATCTAGTGAGTCTGTCGGGTGCCACCTTAAGACTGAGCATTTGAATGCCCCCAGAAGGTGCAGTGCTGCTCCTCAGCACCAGGCCACACTGTCCCCCTGCCACTGCTCCCTTTGCTCGTTTGCAATCAGCTGGCTCCAAAGCTGTAGCCCTGATATCAGACCTTAAAAATCCTTAAGGAAAGAAATGTCTGCACCGGGAATAAAAAAAACAATAAAATAAAAATCTTTCATGAGTCACAGCAAGCCAGTGCTGGCATTGCTTTGCCAGGAGTCTGAGTCAGCCCAGCCACCAGGCACCAGCCCTTGGCCCTCCTCTCTAGCACAAGGAGCAGATGTGTTCCCGGTGCTGCTGGGCCATGAAGGATGGGCAGAGCCCTGGTGTGGGCCCCTGCATTTGGTTTGCCTGCAGTTCAACACAGCTGGGGCTTTGCTGACCCAGGTGCATCCTGCAGGGTAGGGGGGCTTAGTTTTGCTGTCTCCATCTGCTGCACTGCTCAGCAGCAAGTAACATGAGTTACTTCACATCAGCATGGCAAAACACCACCTCCCTCCACACCCAAATCATCAGACACAAAGAGTCAGCAACAAAGCTTTATATTTTTATTAAAATAAAGTGTAATTTTTCCATTTCCCTTGCTTCATTCCTATAAGGAATGGCTTAATATGAGAGTTTGCTAATGTAGGATTAGTTTTAAAACATATGTTGAGGCAAAAAAAAAACCCCAAAAAAACAGACCAGATAAATCCCATCTTCAATACATCAGGTTTTGTTCCCTTCCTAGTGGGTGGAGAATATGGAGGGTGACACTGCATGGCTTTAGTACAAATAGGAGTGTAGGTACAAGAGACTGTTTGGTTCTATCTCCCTCCATTCCCTGACCACATCCCACCTGTTGGAGCACTGAAAGACACAGGATCCTGACTTGGACCAGCTACGCAGCTCCACCAGAACACGGGCTGGAAAGCTCATGCCTGGGGCTGGCATCAATAAGCAAACATGCAGATGCCACAATATGATTAATTTTCCCTTTAAAATGACTTAAATGCTTTGAGAATCAGGAATAAGAGTCAGAACACTTGTTCTAATGACAGGATTGTCTTTTTCTTAGTAGGAGGATAAAACCAAAAGGCTGCTTGACGCAGAGCACAGCTGCTGCACTGCAGCTTGGGCCAGGAGTGGCCCACTGAAGGTGTCCACTGGCTTCACTGGGTTTGTACTGCTCCCCTACTCCTGTTTGCACACAGCTGCACTCAGTGCAGCCACCACCACTGAGGAAGACTATGCAAAGCTGGGAGTCACTACTGGTTTAACATTACCCTCCCCTTCTTCAGCTACGTGTAGTTCAGATTGGTTCAGTTGCCTGTGAAACTCATTTCTCGATACATGAGAGATGGAAATAGTTAACAGAAAATGGAGAAATGTCATCTTTTGTAATGGTATTTTTAATATTTGACTGTTAGCAAAGGAAAAATAACCAAGTTAACATTCAGTACCATAGTCAGGAAAATTTTTTGTATGTATATTTCTGTCATGGGACTAAGATATAAAGCTTAGGATGGTAAATATGCATCTCTACTAAATAATGCAAACTGTGCTCACAAACAATTCCGAGCTGGCAGCGCTGCCAGCACTCTAGCTGCGCTGCTTCATCTGTAGAAGACAAAAGCAAGCCCCTGGTAAAGCTGAAGGAATGCTTCTGCCCTTCTCTTGCCCTTGCCCCTTGGCTTGTCCGAGGTTTGTGTTCCTTGGTGGTGCTGCCAAAACAAATGGGCTGTGGGGTGTTGCAGCACGGGGAGCCCCTTGCTCAGCCCCTCGCACAGGGAGTGCCACTGAACAGGGCACGGAGGAGGTGGCACGCTGGTTGCTCTGCCACATGGCACCTGGCACAGGCTGTGCTTCACATTACATTCTGCTGGCTGGCTATGTTCAATGGCTGCTCCTTGGGCATACCCAAAAATACTTGCTCAGTAGAAAAGCCCTAAGAAAAGCAATGGAGCAGAGCTATACTTGGTAGGATTTGTAGGGGTTCTTTTCAGAGGTCCCTTAAGATCAGAAGTTGGTCTTTAGAGAAACCTTGTATGTTTCTGCCCCTCATTTATGCAGTTTATGGCATTCTTCTTGCAGAACTGACCTCCCTTGTCCACTGCTTCTTGGGCTGCCAACGTATGTCCTCAGCTGTTCAGGGTCAGGAACTTCTCTTGGCTTACTGGTCCACCAAGATCAGACCCTCCTGCTCACCAGCACTTGGTGGGAATGTGGCACTGAGCCCCCTTGTACTGTCACCTCCCAGGAGCTCAGTGTTCTCTCGCCGCTGGCGCACCTGCCTGCTGGCCACTCGCTGCTGCTGCTCCTTCAGCTCACTGTAGGAACGGGAAAAGGTATGAAAGATGGATGTGACTGGGAAAGCCATCAGCAAAATCCCACTCAAGATGCTGCTCAGGGCTACCACCTGTCCGGGGATGCTACGAGGCACCATGTCCCCGTAGCCAACAGTTGTCATGGAGATCACGGCCCACCAGTAACTGCTGGGGACACTGGTGAACTCTTGCTTGGCTCCCAGTTCGCTCTCAGCCAAGTACACCAGCGGCGAGAAGAGGGCCATGGCGACGCAGAGGAAGAGCAGGAGCAGCCCGAACTCGCGGGTGCAGCGGCGCACGGTGAGCCCCAGCGTCTGCAGCCCCAGCGAGTGCCGCGCCAGCCGCATCACGTACAGGATGCGCAGCGCCCGCAGGAAGCGCAGCACCAGCCCCACGCGCTCCAGGTACTTGTTCCCAGCTCCCCCGCCAGGCTTGCTGCTGTTCTTTGTGGAAACCACATCCACAATGAGAGAGATGTAGAAAGGCAGAATGGCCAGGATGTCGATGATGTTGAGCGGGGTTTTCAGGAAAGCACACTTGTTTTCTGCCTGGATGGATCGCAGCAGGAACTCAAAGGAAAACCACGCCACGCACACCGTCTCCAGCACAAAGATGTCATAGCACTTTCGTGAGCATTCACCCTGGGGAGAAGAGGAGTGGGAAACATATAAAAGAGGGAAGAAACAGACTTAGCCAGGGAGTGAAACAAAGTGAGTGTCAGTTCTTAAAGGAAAGCAGCACGTGAAATTGATACGAATTGTGGATGTACCAAAGGCAAAATCACGGCTGCTGAGAGGTACTAAAACCAGAGGCTACGTGTTTGACTAGAGGACGGGTCAACAATGCATGCTCTGGAGTGTCCCAAAGCTGCCAAGAACTTGGTGTGATCTTACCAGCTGTTGGTCAGAGAGCCTACTGCTAAAAGGCCAGCGGCTCGCACTTCATTTCTAACCAAGACTTTAACACCTTTTAAAAAGGATTAATACAGGATTCATGGATTGTAATAAATATGTGATCCTTCCTTCCCTTCCTGATCAATAATAAATTGCTTACTAATGCCTCATAAACACCTACAACATTTTATGTGATATCCTTGGAGTTATCTATAATCTATTATTCACTAAATACAGTACATATTTTATAATCCAGTGAACATTTATTAGCACACTACCCCTACAGTCAAATGCTTATATAAAGTGCTGAGAAATGTAGGCATTTCTAAAAGAAAAAATACCACAGGATAGAATGGGGTATGGACAGATAAGTGTTTTTAGTTACTGCACCTGGAACAACTAGTGACCACAGTGCCTTCCCCAGGCTTTCTTCCCCTGCTCTTCCCTGCAGGCTCACTTGGTGGCAAATAAAGAGAGCTCTGGCTCTTTAGTTAGGACGCTTGTAAACAAGCCTCAGTGCACTGGGAAGGCAACAAACAATAATGCTGGTGATGGCCCCTCCTCGGTTGTGGCAATTCCCTGCTATATCACTCTTGGTATCTCCAGCTGAATAATAAACAGCTTCTCTAAATAAAGAGATTTTGATGTGGACAATTACAGGGCTAGTGCTGTTTCCTCTGTAAGTGCTCATATAAAAGTGTGAATGCTCTGGGGGCTTTGTGTGGAAGGCAAGGGTATACTTATTTAAGGGAGATGTATATTTACTCAATGTGCCAGTTTGAACAGTTTGTGAAACAGTTTGTTGTAAGCAATCAATCCATGCTAGTGAGGTGCATGACTCCTACTGGATGCAACAGGTATTAGGTCCCAATGCCCAACCTTATTTCACTTGCCTATGCCAAATTATAGCAATAAAACATCATTTGAGAATGGCAAAGCTGTGTCAAGCTGGTTCCCATTTCACCACTGGAGAAGCTGAGAACCTGGCACATGTATTAGCAGTTCTGCCCACATACTCAGCTACAGGAGTCTCTTGCTCCAGAGAGACAAGGAAATTTTTAATGCACATCCTAACTTCATTCCTCTTGAAGTGTGTATGTACAGGCTTTTTCCCTGTTGGAAAAGAAAACAGACAGAAAAAGACTGATGAGGCTTTTGCCCTCATCACTAACTGCAGCCTTCCCCAAAATGTGGAGGGACTGGATATGTTTCAAGGGCCAGCAGTGAGAGCAGTGTCATCACGTTGAATGCAAAGCCTTGGGTTACCTCAATGTGATAACCAAAATGCTGAGGCACCCTGCACATATTACACTTAAGAAGAGATTGAGACAGTAACTAAAGAAATGTCAACAAGAAACAGAGATGTGAAAAGGAATCCTCAGAGCCAGCATTTATGGTCCTTGTAGTAACCACAATAAAAAATTGTGATGCCTTGTGTTTATGGATTTTTGTTTTGTATTCTACTTTCAGTTGGCACATGAGGTACCTCCCACTGTTTCCCAGGGGGTCATGCTGATATGGAGAGGAAAATTACTTGTTCCATTGAAATTACTGTCAAGTTTTAAGCATATTTCAGGGAGGAATGATAATCTTATTTTACCAGTATAGTAGCTCGGATAGCCTCTCTTTAAATTCCGAATTTTGATATGTGTGAACACTAGAAGGAGCTTAATTTATATCTGCCTCACCAAACTAATTTGGTCATAAGTAAGTATTTTTGTCACAAGCATAATACATAGAAGATTTTGTTTCTAGGAGCTTTCCTCCTATCACAGCATAACTATGCTGTCAGGCTTTTCTGACAAATACAGAATCAAGATGCTTTCACACCACAACAGAAATCTGGCTCTGTGAGCCAGAGACAAAGCTCACAAAGTCAGTGGAAGGACTCTGCCTGTACCACTGTAACTTCTCTCCTTATGACCCAGAAACCAGCCCTCCAACCCATATTGTCCCAGAACTCTGCTGCCTGGGAATCTCTCATCAGGATATGCTTGATCTCACACCTAAGGGCAGTCGCTGCAGGTGATTGCAGCTCTTCACCCTATCCTTGCAGATGCTCTACAGGATCAGATTGTGGTGTTAGGATGACAACGTAGAGAAGAATAGCTTTGGCTTGAGCAAAGCAACAGCAATGACAAGATGAACACCCAAATTTGCTTTCTCTGACAGGTGCACCATTACTTGGAACACCACTTATGGAAACTCGGATGCACTTTGCCTTAAGAGCCCTACATGGCAGGAAGTGTTCTGGATTCTGATGCACATATATAGACTTTTACTGCCACTAAAACTTTTGGCAAAGTCAGTGAATGGCAAATTTAGCCTTAAAATAAACCTACAAAGTCACTAAGGTGATTAATAGCTAATTTGGCACCTAATTCCCCCAGCACTTTCTATTAGCTGCATATGGAAAGGAGACTCACAGAAGTGCTTTTGTGTGTGAGTTTTGGTATAGGAGAAAACAGGAGTGAAGATTGTTCCACACGAATGGGCTACCAGGGAAGATGACTTTTGGAAGACCTGTCTGCTCTCCCACACTCTGACATGTTTATCCTGTGTATGTTCACAGACCTAAATATTTCTATTTATGTCTTCAGTCATCCTGCAGAGCTACATCCCGAATGCAGGTGCAGGAGCAGCCTGGCAACCTTTGTTCGGCCAAGCTCAAGAAGCTTGGTGGAATCTGGAGCTCAGATAATCCAGCACTGCAGAACCAAGATGCATCTTTGCCCATCAAGATAATGAGGAGCTGAAATTTCCACCATCCAGAGCTACGGCTGGGCCCTGGCTTTTTTCCACTCTTCCCACTCTCCACAGCTGACAAATAATATGAAAGTCAAAATGTTTACTTTCAGTACAGTGGAGTGATAATATTTTACTACACAGAGTTCACTTCAACAGGATGAAACAATCCCCCCTTCCAGCAAATGCATAATTATCTCCAGCAACTTGCTCAGTATCCTTTATTAACCTAGCACAATCTGAACAAGCCAGGCTCTGCCCAAAGGCTGTCCTAAGAATAAGAGGGTCTGAACATACTTTTAGAAAACAGATCTGTGTGTCAATCAACCTGCCAGAGGTCTCTTTTTTTCCCACTAATTAAATGTTTTCCTATCCCTTGGACCATGTTTCAACATCATCTAGGTGTGTCCTAGTACTACCCTCACATGTTATAAAAAACAGCAACTCAAAATTTTGTTTCATACTCTTTGCACTTCATTTCTTTCAGTTGCAGCTGCTTTTCCTTGCTGCTTTTTTTTTCTTGCTTGACTACAGCATTGGTTAAGAAAAAAAAAAAAAAAGGCAAGTTTTGCTTTCTAAACCTTTCTAACTGTGCGTTCCAGTCCAAATGGATGCTGTAATTCTGCTTGGGCTTTTGAGGTTTTCCATTCAAGAAAACAAAGCAAAAATTCTCAGAAAGGCACACACATAAATGGATAAAAAAATCAGGAATTAATCAGCCATTGGAACACAAGAAAAACAAGTCCTAACAGAATAAAGTATCCTGCCCAAAATAGATCTTCATCAAATCTGTATGTTCTCAAAAAAGATCGAGCTATACCAGCTTGTGGCCATAAACATGTCCATTAACAACTACACACTGCTTTTTACTATTTATAAGCAAAACAGCTCTCCCTCATACCAAGTAACAAACTTTCTTCACGCTGTAATCTAATGGATACAGTTTTATCATTACTTTTTCATATTTAGATTGACGAAATTGAGCTACAGGGAAAACAGTTGTTTTTCACAAAGTCTGTATATTTATTTATCTGTGTACATTTGTTTCTTTCAAACTATGAGTAGTTTGGGTTTCTTTTTCATGCAGAAATTTCTTGAATATGGGAAATTATCTGCAGTTGCACAGAATTTGGGGGCTATGTACTGTCAACACATGAGACAATGTCAACACGGGGAACAAGGAAAGAAAGTAAGAACAACATCAGTGAGTAATTCTGTGCAGGCATATTAAAGTGAGTCTCCTTCATTAGGAAATATAGAAATTTGCTGTCAAAAAGCCAAGCACAGCATCTTTCTTCTGGAGTACTGTTTTTTTTTTTTTTTTGCCAAAAGGAAAATTACAAAAAGGAAAATCAGTGTCACTGGAGTTCAAATCCATCTTTTATTTATTGTATTTATTGTTCTGTATGGCCCGTCTAAAAGTGGCAGACATCTTTCAGAAACATTTTGGTTTGGCTTGCAGAGTCCATTTCACTTGTACTGAACCCTGTACTGAGCCTCAGAAAAATTCTCCACTGTGTGTTGTGTGACTTCTTGGCCCTGCCTTTGTCCTCTGGTCTTCTGAGAAAAAATTGTGACTCTTCCTTAGATTCTTGCAGGCTTTGACTCCATCTTCTAATCCCTCTGCATTAGAAGATGTCAAAAGCCAGATCACCTCTAACCGCTCCAGTTCTTTTGTTGCTTTCCATTCATTTTTTCGTCAGGTCAGCAGCTCCACGGCACTTTGAAGAAAGAAGTTTCAATGCTGCCCACTTTGACCCTATAGTGAGATTTCCCTTTCTGTCAAATATATATATAAGAAACCCCAACATGAGAGGCATTGCATACAAAAGTACTTACATAAGCCTGAAAATCATGACATTTCTAAAATTATGTTTTGCTACATGTCCACTTGCCCCTTGTTACTTGAGCCTTTTGGGTCACATGTTTCAAGTGTTTCTCTGTGCACATCAGATCAAACTCTTTTTTAACAACAATGTGGAACTTGAAATTCTGATGCAACT